TGCCAGAGACAAGCTTTGTCTCCTTAGTGGCTCACAGCATGAAGGTCGCTCACTCAGCCTTAGCCATGGGGGGGTGGGGCAGTTACAACTCCTGAAACCAGGCAGAGCAGTTCCCAACATAGAACAAATGTTTGAAATATTTATATGGAACCATAAATGACCCTGAGTAGCCTCATGAATTCTGAGAAGAACAAAGCAGGAGAGATCATATCTGATATCAAACTATATTACAAGGCCGCTGTAATCAAAATGGTCTGGTACTAGCATAAGAACAGACACATAGATCAGTGGAATGAAATAGAAAGCCCAGCAAAAAACCCATGTCTCTAAGATCAATTAATATTCAACAAAGGTTGCAGGATTATAAAATGAGTAAAAATAGCCTCTTCAATAGCCTCTCACCAGTTGGCTGGTGAGAATGGCCATCATAAGATGTGAGGGCAACTTTGCCTGCAAGTCTCCCTGTCCACCACGGATGAAAGCAACACTACCAAGACATGATCTGCTTGGGGAGGAGAAGGGCCAGGAGCCCCTTCCTTCAGGGGCTTTTATTGGGTTGTAATACACAGAAATACAGGGTAGCAAGGATCAAACAGTAGATAACATTTCCAAGAAATCTGAGGGCTAGTCTGAGTCAGAGTCTGTCAGGAAAAGGGGTTGCAGAAACATTGGCAGACATACTTATTTACTACTCAGACCCTTAACATATGAATGAAAGCACTCTTAGCAAAGCAGGTTTCACAGGACCTTTAGGAATTCTTTCTTATGCCTGATTTACCCCGGATACCACACAAGCAAGGCAAGGAGGTGCACCCCTCCCCATCACAGGTTTTCAGGCTTAAGTGGGTTAGAGCCAGGAAGCACTTCTCCCAGAGGACAGGGGGACTCAGGCTATGTTAGAATAGCCAGGGGGTAGGGTCCATTGCTCCCTCTTTGTCTCAGCCCCCCCAAGTCATTCCATGATGGCCTCCCAAGTAATCGTGTCTGGCTTAGGTTGCCCCTCACTGTGAGAAGTCTTACCCGTCACCGACATTGACCATGTTTTGAGGGCAGGGGGAAGAAGCTGAGGCAGCGTTTACTGCAAGAGACAAGCTTTGTCTCCTGTGGCTCGCATTCCGGAGGCTGCTCACTCATCCTCAGCCATGGAGGATAGTTACAATTCCTGAAACTAGGCAGAGCGGTTCCCAACAATAAACAAATCAACAAACATGTGTTGGAGAGGACGTGGAGAAAAAGGGAACCCTAGTGTACTGTTGGTAGGAATGTGGACTGTGGAAAACACTGTGCAGCCACTGTGGAAAACAGTATGAAATTTCCTCAGAGAACTAAAAATGGAACTGTCTTTTGATCCAGCAATTCCACCACTGGGATTATATCCTAAGAAACCTAAAACACTGATTCAAAAGAACCTATGCACCCCAATGTTCATAGCAGCACAATTTACAATAGCCAAGTGCTGGAAGCATCTTAAGTGCCTATCAGTAAATGAATGAATCAAAAAACTGTGGCACATTTACACAGTGGAATACTATGCAGCAGAAAGAAGGAACTCCTACCCTTTGTGACAGCATGGATGGAACTGGAGAGCATTATGCTAAGTATAATAAGCCAGGTGGTGAAAGACAAATACCATATGATCTCACCTTTAAGTGGAACCTAATCAATAAAACAAACAAGCAATCAAACTATACCCAGAGACATTGAAATTAAGAACAAACTGGCAGTAACCAGAAAGGAGGTGGGTGGTGATACTGGGGGGAAAAGAGGGTAGGGTTTTCAGGAACAACTATAAAGGATACATGGACAAAACCAAGGGTGGTTGGGATCAGGGGAGGGAGGTGGGGATGGCTGGGGTGGGAGGAGTGGTGGGGGGAAATGGAGATAACTTCATTTGAACGATAAAAAAAGTTAAAAATAAAATACATTCAAAATACTTTAGTCCATTTTTTAGTTGAGTTACTAGTCTTTTGCTATTGAGTTGTATGGATTCCTTGTATGTTTTGGAACTTTACCCCTTATTAGATATATGATTTGCTAATATTATCTCCCATTTTGCAGTTGCTTTTTCATTCTGTTAGTTGTGTCCATTGCTGTGCAGAGACTTTTGTTTAATGTATTCTCATTTGTGTATTTGGGGTTTTGTTGCCTGTGCTTTTGGTGTCATATAAAAGAAATTATTGCTTAGATCATTGTTAAAGCTTTCCCCCTATGTTTTCTACTTAGCATTTACCTATTACCGTTCTGGGTCTTACATTTCAGTCTTTAATCCATTTTGAGTTGATTTTTTTTGAAAAGTATAAAATAAGGGTTCAATTTCATTCTTTTGCATGTGAATATTTAGTTTTCCCAGCATCATTTATTGAAGAGACTTTCCTTCAATATTGTATTCCTGGCACACCTATTGAAAATTAGTTCACTGTATATGCAAAGGTTTATTATGGGGTCACTATTCTTTTTTTTATGTCAAGAGGAAATTTAATAAGTGTTTTCAAAATACATACTGATCAACTTTAGCTAATCAAAGTTCAGTAAATGTACAATCAATAATAAAAGATAGCCAATATTTCATTCCTGCAAAACAAACCTATGCACATACTCTAGAGACTAAAAAACACACTTCTAAATAATTCGTGAATCAAGGGAGAAATTTTTTATTGTTGTTTAAGTACAGTAATCTCCATTTTCCCCCCACCACTCCTCCCACCCCAGCCATCCCCACCTCCCTCCCCTGATCCCACCCACCCTTGGTTTTATCCATGTATCCTTTATAGTTGTTCCTGAAAACCCTACCCTCTTTTCCCCCCAGTATCACCACCCACTTCCTCTCTGGTTACTGCCAGTTTGTTCTTAATTTCAATGTCTCTGGGTATAGTTTGATTGCTTGTTTGTTTTATTGATTAGGTTCCACTTAAAGGTGAGATCATATGGTATTTGTCTTTCACCACCTGGCTTATTTCACTTAGCATAATGCTCCCCAGTTCCATCCATGTTGTCACAAAAGTTAAGAGCTCCTTTTCTTTCTGCTGCATAGTATTCCATTGTGTAAATGTGCCACAGTTTTTTGATCCATTCAGTTACTGATGGTCACTTAAGATGCTTCCAGTACTTGGTGATTGTAAATTGTGCTATTCTGTTCATTGGTCTGTATGTCTGCCTTTGTCCTACTACTATACTGTTTTAATTATGGTGCTTTTGTAATATATTTGGAATCGGGAAGTGTAATGCCCTACAGCTTTGCCCTTCTTTCTCAAGATTATTTTGGCCATGGAGTTATTTGTGGTTCCACATAAATTTAAAAATTTTTCTATTTCTATAAAACTTCTGAAGAGATTTTGGTAGGAATTCATTGACTCTGCTTAGGGTAGTATGGATATTATAACAATAGTAAGTCTTCCAACCCCAAAACAAAGGATGTTTTTACCTTCGTTTGAGTCTTAATCTCTTTATTCAATATTTTGAAATTTTCACAAGTCTTCCACCGCCTTAGTTAAGTTTATTCTTAGATATTTTATTCTTTTTGTTATTATTATAAATAGGATTGTTTCCTCATTTGTTTTTTGAGACAGTTTGTTGTTAGTGTATAACTGCAAGTGATTTTTGTATGTTGATGTTGTACCCTGCAACTTTAGTGAATTTGTGTATTCAAACAGTTTTTTGATAGAGTCTTTAGAGTTTTCTCTATAGAGAAATGTAAAAGCATGCTATCAGGGACAATTTTACCTCCTTCTTTCAGATTTGGATACCTTTTATATATTTTTCTTGTGTGATTGCACTGGCTAAGACCAGTACTATGGTGAATAGAAGTGGCAAGACTGAGAATTGCTGTTTTGTTTCTAATCTTAGAGGAAAAGCATGTGCTAAGATTAGGATGGTCACCAAGTGGATACATAGGATAATCATTAAGAAGACTCCTGTGGTGTATTTGTATGGCATTGTTCTAAGGATGATGCTGGACTCATAAAATGAGTCTAGAACTGTTACCTTTTCTTCTATTGTTTTTGGAAGAGTTTAAGAATTAGTATTAATTCTTCTTTAAATGTTTGGTAGAATTCACTCATGAAGCCAAATTTTCTTGGGCTTTTCTGTGTTGGGAGGTATTTGATTATTGATTCAATTGGTTTATGTGATTGGTCTATTCAGGCTTCCTTTTTCTGTCTTTTCTCATCTTCACTGAGATATTATTGGCACATAAAATGTGTAAGTTTAAGGCATACAATGTGGTAATTTGAGATATATGCATCAAATTTAATAGATATATATATTTAGTAAAATGGTAAATGGTGAAAGATTTATACAATCTGAAGAGAAACCAGAGTATGTGTGTATGTGTGTGCATATATAATATGTGTGTATGTGTATAAACAGAGAGAGTAAAATGATTACAATATAGTTAACACCTCCATCCCCTCAGATAATTATCATTTTTCATGTGTGATAATAACATTTACAATAGACTTTTTAAATAACTTTCAGAGCTAAGCCTTGAGAGTTCCTTCACTGTGACCTGGATTGAGACTCCCAGTGGCAACACTGTGGGATCACTATCCAAAGATTATGATAACCCTGTATAAGAGGGGCCAAGTCCCTTGGAGAAAGTGACCTGGACTGTCGATACACCATCAGTTGCATTTCTGATTAGGACATGATGCTTTCTAAGAGGCTAACATACAAAGCATTCTAAAAATATTTAACAAAAAAATTAACACCCTCTAACCATAGACTTCCTACATAATGAACAAAGGAGAGAAAAAGTGAAACTATATTATCTATGTATCTTAACCCTAAATTACACACATGTAAGATCAGCAGATTTTCATAAAAATAATATATTTGGTGACTAGAAAATTATAAATAAAAGTTACCATTAATTAACACACTAGTAATTTATTTTTGAGGTAGTTCTTCACATAAAAAGATAAGGCTAGTGGACAATATAAACATCCATCACATGTTCCCAAACACTATCATTTTGCAGTTTCTGGAATCACACTGAATTTCTTTCAACAAGACCAATGTGTTCTCGCCATCCATTTTCTCAGGGCCTCCTTCACATCTCTGTTCCTCAGACTGTAGATGAGAGGGTTCAACATGGGGATCACCACCGTGTAGAACACAGACACCACTTTAATATGGTCAGGTGAGCAGCCCGACTTTGGCATAACATAAACAAAAGTGACAGTCCCATAAAACAAAGTGACTGTAGTAAGGTGGGAAGTGCACGTGGAGAAGGCCTTGTGCCTTCCTCCAGTAGAGCGCATCTTCAGGATGGAGTGGAAGATGTATAGGTATGAAATGATGATGATGAACAGTGTAAGTACAGCAATTGACCCAGCTGTGATGGTAGGAAATATTTCAGCTACGTAAATATGGGTACAAGAAAGCTTCACTAGGGGTAGAAGGTCACAGAAGAAATGGTTGATTGTATTAGGTCCACAGAAAGTCAGACTCAATGAGCAGCCTGTAAATGTTGAAGCATTCGCACATCCACCCAGATAGGAAGCAACTAATAGGATGATACAGACCCTGGGAGACATGTGTGTAGAGTAGAGCAGTGGGGAGCAGATGGCCACATAGCGATCATAGGCCATGGCAGCCAGCAGGAAGCACTCAGTTGTCCCAAGTGTAACTGCAGAACAGAGCTGGGCTATGCAGCCAGTGACAGGGATAGTAGTTCTCTCTTTTAGAAAGCTCACAATCATAATAGGTGTGACTGATGTGGAATATACAATGTCCACAAAGGCCAAATGACTCAGGAAAAGGTACATCGGGGTGTGAAGCTGAGGGCTTCTTTGGATTAACGTGATTATGCTGATATTGCCCAAGATGGTAGCAACATATATTCCTAGAAAAACCACAAAGAGGATGGAACAAAGTATAGGGTCATTTGTTAACCCTGAAATAATGAATTCTGTCACCATTGTGTGGTTTTCAGTCTCCATCTTATATGGAACAATGCCTATTGAAATAAAAACTGGTGGATATTACAATGAATTAAATAATCTTGTAATCACTGTATTTACCATTCAAGATGTTAAAAATCAAAACATAGATCTCACTTTTCTCTAATGCTTAGATTTTACAAATGTTTCCAAACACATTTATATTCCATATAATTTGAGAATGTTAATGTCCATTAACATAAGGCCAAAGATCCTCACAAGAGACTGATGAGGTGGGTCAGAACAAAGCACTCACGTTTGCATCTCTGACCAAGTTATGATGAACAAACATATACAGCAATGACGGGTTGAGAACCTGATGAGAACCAGAGAGGTCAAAGTGATTGATCATATGATAGTGTTTAGCAATATCCAACTTGCTTCTATTTCTTGATCACATTTAAGACCACACTTCCCAGTTCCCTCATAGTCAGATGAGGCTGTGAACTATGTATGCCAGTGAACTATGTGTCTCTTCTGGATCAAATTAAATTACCAGTAGACAACTCTTCTCTTCTAGTGCCATATTCAACATTATAAAATAGTATTACCTCCACTGGTCTGGAATTTCAGGGAATGTGGAGAATACACTGGAATACACTAGAGGTGAGAAATGAATTTATGTTGTATTGGACCATGCTGAGTTTCCAGGGTTAATTTGGTACAAGAGCATAACATATCTTAACCTGATTAATATAGTTACAGATGGGCTGTAAATGAAGATGCATGTAGAGTTTAATCCTGAGAGCAACAGGAGAAATAAATCCACTATGGGTCATTAACTATACTTTAGGCACTATACAGACCTAACACAAGGATCCAGTGTATTATCATGTATGAATAACAAATTATTAGAATATGTTGACAAAATGCCTGTATGCTTACATTAAGCCAAGCACGTGAGAACAAAAAGTAATACATAACAAATGAAAGTTCACCTAACAAAAACTTGAGTGGGTTTATTAAAAAGAACACAAAAACTAAAACTAAAGCAGATTTCCATTTTAAGCAATACTGTGAACATAAAATAGCCTAAAATGTTTTCAACAAACTATTTAGATAAACTGATACCTTAAATTTTTTTAATGTTCAAAATGCAGCAATGAGCTTCCATGAAATAAAGGAAACCTCCACCAAACAAAAAATGACATGAGAGCTGATGATCAGCAAAGTAAGCTGAAACAGAACTGAAACGGTCTAGAGACAGTTCCAATCTCCACAACTGAGGACCTGTGCTTTAACAGCTGTGCGGGCATGGCTACAGATAAGGGTTTAGACCCATGTGAGCTGCGTAGCTAATTTTAAATTGGTCAGGAGACCAATAACAGCAAAAGAAATTGAAGCAGTAATCAAAAAACTCCCGTCACACAAAAGCCCTGGACCAGATGGGGTCACTGGAGAATTCTACAAAGCATTTAAGGAAGAGCTAACCCCCATTCTTCACAGACTATTCCAAAAAATCCAAAAGGATGGAAAACTCCCAAACTCCTTTTATGAAGCCAGCATCATCTTAATTCCAAAACCAGATAGAGATACAACAAAGAAAGAAAACTTCAGGCCAATATCGCTGATGAACATAGATGCTAAAATTCTCAACAAAATATTGGCAAATCGCATCCAACAATATATCCAAAAGATTATACACCATGACCAAGTGGGATTCATCCCAGGGTTGCAAGGATGGTTCAACATTCGCAAATCAGTAAATGTAATTCATCACATAAACAAAAGCAAAGACAAAAACCACATGATATCAATAGATGCGGAAAAAGCTTTGAATAAGGTACAGCACCCATTTATGATAAAAAACACTCAGGAAAGTGGGAATAGAGGGAGCATTCCTCAATATAATAAAGGCCATTTATGAGAGACCTACAGCCAATATCATACTCAATGGCAAAAACTAAAAGCTTTTCCACTAAGATCAGGAACAAGACAAGGATGTCCACTTTCACTACTTCTATTCAATATAGTATTAGAAGTTTTGGCCACAGTGATTAGGCGAGAAAAGGAAATAAAAGGCATCCAAATAGGAAAGGAGGAAACAAAACTGTCACTGTTTGCAGATGACATGATAGTGTACATGGAAAATCCTATAGACTCTACCCAAAAACTGCTCAAACTAATGAATGAATTTGGCAAATCAGCAGGATACAAAGTCAATATCCAGAAATCAAAGGCATTTTTATATACTAACAATGAATCAGCAGAAGCAGAAATCAAGGAAAAAATCCCATTCGATATAGCAAAAAGAAAAATAAAATATCTGGGAATAAACCTAACCAAGGAGGTAAAAGACCTGTATGCAGAAAACTACACAGCACTGAAGAAAGAAATCAGGGAAGACACAAACAAATGGAAACATATACCTTGTTCATGGACGGGAAGAATTAACACCATCAAAATGTCCATACTACCCAAAGCAATATACAGATTCAATGCAATACCTATTAAAGTACCAATGGCATATTTCACAGACATAGAACAAACACTTCAAAAATTTATATGGAATCATAAACGAGCCCGAATAGCAGCTGCTCTTTTGAGAAAGAAGAACAAAGTAGGAGGGATCACAATACCTGATATCAAACTGTATTACAAAGCCACTGTAATCAAAACAGCCTGGTACTGGCATAAAAACAGGCACATACACCAATGGAACAGAACAGAGAGCCCAGAAATAAACCCAAGTCTCTATGGGCAAGTAATATTTGACAAAGGGGACAATAACATAAAATGGAGTAAAGATAGCCTCTTCAACAAATGGTGTTGGGAGAACTGGACAGCTACATGCAAAAAAAATGAAACTTGAGCACCAACCTACACCATACACCAAAATAAATTCAAGGTGGATAAAAGACTTAAATACAAGCCGTGACACCATTAAAGTCCTAGAGGAGAACATTGGCAAGAAAATCTCAGATATTCCACACAGCAACATTTTTACTAACATGTCCCCTAGAGCAAGGAATATAAAGGAAAGAATAAACAAATGGGATCTCATCAAAATAAAAAGCTTCTGCATGGCTAAAGAAAACAGTATTAAATTAAAAAGACAACCAACTGTATGGGAAAACATATTTGCCAATGATACCTCAGACAAAGGTTTAATCTCCAAAATATACAAAGAACTTACACGACTCCACTCTAGGAAGACATCTAACCCAATTAAAAAATGGGAAAAGGACTTGGACACTTCTCCAAGGAGGACATACAGAACATCCAGAGACACATGAAGAGATGCTCAATATCTTTAGCTATCAGAGAGATGCAAATTAAAACCACAATGAGATACCACTTTACACCAGTCAGGATGGCTATCATAAACAAAGCAACAAACAACAAATGTTGGAGAGGTTGTGGGGAAAAGGGGACCTTAGTTCACTGTTGGTGGGATGGCAGACTGGTACAACCATTATGGAAAACAGTATGGAATTTTCTCAGAAAAATAAAAATCGACCTGCCTTTTGACCCAGAAATTCCACTGCTAGGATTATATCCCAAGAATCCTAAAACATCAATTTCAAAGAACCTATGCACCACAATGTTCATAGCAGCACAATTTACAATAGCCAAGAGTTGGAAGAAACCTAGGTGCCCATCAGTAAATGAATGGATCAAAAAATGACATATACACAATGGAATTCTATGCAGCAGAGAGAAAGAAGGAGCTACTACCCTTTGCAACAACATGGATGGAACTGGAAAGCATTATGCTGAGTGAAATAGGCCAGGCATTGAAGGACAAATACCATATGATCTCACCTTTGACAGGAAGCTAAACAATAAAACAAACAAGCAAACAGAATAAAAACAAAGACACTGAAATAGAGAACAAGTGGGCAGTGACCAGAGGGGAGAGGGAAGGGAATTTAAGGGGAAAAATGGGGAGGGATTTTGAGGAACAAGTATGAAAGAAACAGGGATGAGGACTGGGGGTGGGGGGGGAATGGGAGGGAGGTGGGGAGATGGGGCGGGGTGGGCTGGGATGGGAGAAATAGACAAAAAAATGTACTTGAAAAATAAATAAAAAATTAAGAAAAAAAAGAAAAAAATAAATTGGTCAGGAGAAATCTCTCTGTGCGGGGAGCATTTAAAATAAAGCATAAGTGACACAACCAACCATACTGAGGTAGAAGGGAAGAGCACCAGCCAGTGCACGAGCCCTGAGAAATGACAGCTTTGTACATTTGAAGAAAAGCAAGCCAATGAGGATGAAAAGAGCAAAACAAGATTAACACAAGAACTAGGCAGAAGCCATGATGGGAGTTTAAACATTATCCTAAGTGCAAACAGGAAGACAATGCAAAGTTGTAAACAATGTCACATTTTAATTCACATAACAAAGTAATTCTGGCTCCTTACTCCAAGGGGACTAAATTGTAGAGAAGTAAGGGAGTTAACAGAAAAACCTGTTAGAATGCTGTAATAGTCCAGGTGCAATACGGTGCTGCCGATGTGGCAGTAACAAAGGTTACTGAAGCACTTGGTGTGTCAGAGGTGAATGTGCAGCTGAGTCAGGAGAAATGTGGTGACAATGCCAGCATAAGGTTTTTAAAAAGAGAAGCTCAACCTAACTACCCATAGTTTTGAGGTCAACCCATCAACTTAGTAAGAGGCAAGCCAGGTCACTGAATAAGCAAGTACCAAACAATCAAAAAAATTAGTATGTACTATCAAATCAAAAATATTATCAAATATCAAATAATACATTGGAACTACCACTATCAAATATCATAAGCCTATTACTTGAGAGAGAAAAAATGTCAGTTTTTTAAAGCAATGAAGTTAACATGTGCTGACTCCTGAACTGCTAAATGGACTGTTTGCTACTTTTTAAAGGATGCCAATATCAAAAAATTTTTTTTACAATATACACAGGTAAATAACTATCAGAACCCTACCATTCACCACTATTATGATGAAAAACCTGTACTCTATGCAATGATCATCAAAACCACTGTATTTAATCACCTTTTTTTTAAAGATTTTTAAAATTT